CTCGCATATTTTCCTAGCCAGTATGTCCGGAACTAGAACAGCACAGTCGGCCGTGTGGGATCCAGCTGCCCTAACCACCATGCCAACTGGTCCCCTTCTCTGGAACTTCTCCACTTCCCCTAACAAAATCCTATCCTCATTAAGTCCCACCCCACCCCTGCCTTTCTGAGTCTGTGAGTGACAGCTCTAGCTACCTCCTGAGAATGGACTCAGAGGGTGAGTCCCTCTCGTGTCACTGAGCACGTCTTCAAGGTTCATGCGTGTTAGAGCATGTTTAGCAAATACGTATTTCTAAATATTGAGACCAGCCAGTCAGAGAGGCATCCCTTTCCTCTTTGTTTATTTTCCAGAGGGCATGTGTGCTCAGCAGAGACAGAGAGGGAGAGAGACATGGCACCTCGCAGTGGGCGTGATCACCCCACAACCCTTCTCCACTTGGCCACGCGGATGTGTCTTTAACCCTCTGGGACTGGGACTCAAACTGGTCGACCATGTGGGATCCAGCTCTCTTAAGCACCAGGCCCCTGGGTTGGCCCCTCTTCTTATAAGGCATCAAATCATTTTTTTAAAAAGATTTTTGCCAGGGGCTGGCAGGTGGCACGGTGGTTAAGGGCGCTGGATTCCCGCATGGCTAACTGCAGTTCGAGTCCCGGATCTGACGGCTTGTTCTCCCACTTTCCCTTTCTCTCTCTCTGTTCAAATTAAAAATAACAATAACAAACGGAATTAAATAAATAAATAAATAAAAGTTTTTGCCATAAGGCACGTGCACTCCCAGGGGAGAGAAAGAAGGGAAGAGAGAATTCGCCTCCCAGTGGGGATGGCCGTGCTACAATCTCTTCTCTGCTATTCTCCTCCTGAGATTTAGGGTGCGTGCACACACACACACACACACACACACACACACACATACACATGACTTGACTTTCACACTGCCGGATCCAGGACTTGAACCACAGTCGGCCATGTGCGAGTTCAGCACCTAAACCATCACCCCACCTGCTGGCACCAACTGAGTCATAGCTAGGCTCTACTCTTGCAGTCTCATTTAACCTTCGTCACCTCCTTAGAGACCCCGTCACCGTTGCAGTGGCCTGGGAGGCTGGGGCTTCAGTATCTAAACCCAGGAGGGAACACGGTAGACCTCACGGCACTGAGGAATGGGCGTTCTGGGTCACACGCTCGTCCACGCTTGCTCACCTTGAGGAAGAAAAACAGCTCTGTCGGGTAGCTTTCCACGCACAGGTGTGTTTGCCAAGACAAGGACCTTCCTGTACCTTGTGCTCAGATCCCTTGGGTGGTTCCCCAAGACGTGAGAGTGAAACCCGAACTTCTCTTACTGTTCATGCAGCACTGTAACGGTCCTCAGCGGCTCTTCCAACTTTACGCCCTCCCACACATCCACTCAGGATTCTTATTATTTATTCTATTTTATTTTTGGAGAGGTGTTTGCTATAGGGCACATGCACTCGCCAGAAAGACAGAGACAGGGAGACAGAAAGCGAGAAATCACCTCCCAGGGAGGATGGCCACGCTGCAACCCCTTCTCCATTCTCCTCTCGGGATCTTGGGCACGCACGCACACGTGCCCGGCGTGAGTTTATTCCACCGGGTCTGGTACTCAAAGCACAGTCAACTACATGGGAGTCCAGCGACATAGCCACTACGCCATCTGCCCGTCCTGAGACTCACCTTTTTCTTAAGCACTCTGGTTCTTTTACTTTTTTTGGTTCCAATTTTTTCTTTATAATAGAGCATGTGCACAAGAGAACTACCTGCCCTGACAGAGTGGTCATACTGCCAACCTTTTCTTCCCGTCCTCAGCCCTGGGGTCTTTTCTTTTCTTTCTTTTCTTTCTTTTTTTTTTTTTTTTTAAGAATTAGCTATTGATTTAATTACATGTGTTATTATTATTATCATTATTATTTTAAATTTGACCAGAAAGAGAGACAGAGAAAGGGAAAGGGAGAAAGAAAGCTGCCAGGTCCGGGACCCAAACCGCCATCAGCCGTGTGAGAACCCAGCGCCCTAACCACCAGGAGCCTGCCGGCCCACGCCCTGGGGTCTGAAGCACCGGTGCACCCCAGCCTGCTTCGGACTGGGTGGGCCAGGAATTGGCACTGCGGTCGCACAGGTGCACCAGCTCTCTGGAGCAGAGCCTTGCGCTGTGCAACAGGCCCTATTTTGAGTCCTTAAAAAAAATTACACTTTCTTTGCCCTGCTAGAGGCGGGGGTATAGCGTCTCTGTGCTCCGTGTCTTCTCCCGGCAGACACCGTTTTAAACACCTTTGGGAGGGCGAAATCATACTACCCACAAAACCTTAAGAGGTCGGTACCATGAAGAGTCTCGGTCGACGAGGGGATAGACCCAGACACAGATCCATTAAGTGACTTGGCTAGCTTCAATGCTTTTATGCTTGAATGAATTAGTATGTACTTTGGGTATTTAGTGGCCATGGCACACGGCTGGTGCTCAGCAGCCTCCTGCTAAGTGAAATAAACCTCTGTTCAGAGCATTTAGGTGATGCTCATTTGAGGAGTCCCCTGGAGCTCCGCCCCTTCACTAATCCCCGCCCCCTCGCCTATGCCCCGCCCCTCGAGCTGGTAGGCACTGGTCCCTGTTTTGAGTCGAACGTCTTCTCTCACAATAGCCAATGGTAGACCCTCGCTGAAGCCACACCCCCACGCTACCCAATGCCGGCTCCCTACCTTGAGGCGCTGCTCTTGTGGTATCCAGTAGCCAAGGTTTCTACACTAAGCCCCTCCTCCAGGGAGGGACAATCTAGCAACAACCCGCTTCGTACGTTGATTGGTGCTTTTCTCCTGTGGTGCCCAATAGCCTGCTCTCTAGTCAAAGCCCCTCCTCCTGATTCTGCCTAAGCCCCACCCCTTCGCTCCCGGTGCCGCTCTGTTTCCCTCCTCCCACTTTCCCCTTTCACCTCCCATAACCTCCGCCTCCACCCATTAGGCCTCTTAGGTCACGCCCCTTGGTTCTGCCCGTTACCCAATCCCGTTAACTTGCTCTGCTCCAACTCCTCTTCTCATTGGTCCCCGCCCTTCTCTGTCCTCTGCACGTGGTCCTGAGCGGCGGCGTCTCTGGCCCGTGAAAAGT